GAAACTCATATGCAAAATATATAAGGAATTCCTACAACTCAATACTAAGGGTTCCAACAACCAATTAAAAATTGGCAAAGACAAGGGTGTCCCGGGTGGTCAGCCAGTTAAGCGTCTGACTCCTAATTTCGGCTCAGGCCATACGATGGGAGGCACGCACGGCGGGAACTGCCTGTAGGAAATTCTAGAAAATGCAGAACTAGGCCGTGGTGACAGAAAGCAGGCCAGCGGCTGCCTGAGGCCGGGGAACAGGAAGGGCCCCCACAGAGGACCCAGGGCTTTCTGGGAGCCCGCAGTGACAGGGGGACTGGGTTTCGTGGTGGCCGCTGTCAGAGCTCATTGAACCACACGCTCAGTTGGGGGGGGTGTGTGTCCCGCTGTGCGTCACCTGCACCTCAACAGCTGTTTGTTCTCGGGACACATTCTTCTGTGGAGGGTTCACACTCCGTGCTCCTCACAGTCTTCGATCCGAGCGCGTGGCCTTTCCTTAGGCCCTTGTAGCTGGAAGCGGACACCCTCGGTGAAGGAAGGAAGATGCCCGTGTCAACATTTCCCACAACCCCCTTGACAGCAATGGCTGAGCCTCAGCGAGCTGGTCACGGACGCTGCTTCCCTCCCAGACTCCCTCCCGCTGCCGGCTGCGCGGACCGCTGCGTGCATGGAGCGCCCACTGTGTGCTGCGTGCTGTGCTGGGTGGTGCCTGTAGTAGGCAGTGTTCACGCAACCCTGAGAAGTGCACTGTGTCGTCACGCACGCCATCTTGAAAATGAGAACGCGGACACGTGGTGCAGGCCTGTCCACGGCTGCGGGCTCGAAGACTGTCGCGTGGGGAGCCCGTGTCAGAGGCCACGTGCTCCTCTGGGTCTTGGGCTCGGCTCCTCCTCGCACGCACGAGGACTCAAGCAGCCGCCGTCGTGGCTCCGGGCGGTACCGGGACCCTCGCCTGAGCCACTGGGAGGCAGAAACTCTCCGCACCCCTGGCGCGCCCATCGCTCAGATGTGCCAGAGCACAGGTGAGCCTTGCCACACGCGACAGGAAGACTCGTGCTCACCACCGCACACCGGGATCAGCACCCCAGTGGGCGGGGTCCTCCCGGCACAGAGCAGGCGGTGGGGCCGGGGGAGGGTCCCCCAACACGCCAGCAGGCCTCGCCCAGTCCCATGGCCGCGCTGGCCCTCCCTCTGAGGCCCAGGATGACTCACGAGTGGATCACCGAGCCCGGCCAGATGGGAGCCCCACGAGCCAGCTGTGGGCTCCACTCCAACCTCTGACCTGGGGACTCTAGGAATGACGGTGACGATGACGGCAGTGCCCTGCAGACACACCCCAGCGTGAACGCAGGATCTCAGTGGGCAGCAGGGTCCTAGGCGGGGGAGAGGATGCGGCCGGCCCTCCGGGGCCCGCCCCCAGCCGCGGAGTCACGGGCCATGCATGTCAGGTTAGCACCCATTAGTCTCCTCTGAAGCTGGTGCCCCACAGCTTACGTTCAGGGGCCCGGCTGGGGACAGGGACCGGGGGCCGCACACAGCGAGGCCGAGCCGCCCCCACACATCAGGGCCCCCTCACGGCTCCCAACACCCAAGCCACAGCTTGGTTCTCGATGTTGTGGCTGCTCCCAAGAGAGCTGCACAAACCGCCCAATGCCACACGGCCTCCTGCCCATGGCGCGGGGTGCCACCCGGTGCCAGAGCCGCAGTCGCCGACCGGCTGGCGGCCGGGCCGAGGTGTCGTCAGGCGTGCGGTCATCCCACGCTGGCCAGCAGACCTCGACTTTACCCGAGACCCCTGTGGCTCCCAGCCTGCTGTCCTCTGTCCCTGGCCCTCGTTGTCCCATCCGGGGAAGCTACTGGCCCACGCCGGGCATCTCCTCGAGAGAATCTATTGCCTTTTCATTATGGTTAAATGTGTGTAACACAAAAGTTCCTTTTTTTTTTTTTTTTTTTGAGAGAGAGAGACAGCGTGAGCAGGGAAGGGTCAGAGAGAGAGGGAGACACAGACTATGAAACAGGCTCCAGGCTCTGAGCTGTCAGCACAGAGCCCGACACGGGGCTCGAACCCACAAATTGAAAGATCATGACCTGAGCCGAAGTCGGATGCTTAACCGACTGAGCCTCCCAGGCGTCCCCAAAAGTTCCCATTTTAACCATTTCCAAGTGTACAGTTGTGGCATTCGATCCATCCATGCTGCTACACAACGGTCACCTCCGTCCATCGCCGGAACTTTTCTAACTTCTCCGAACTGAAGTCTGTCCCCACGGAGCACGGATTCCCCCTGCCCCTCCCCCAGCCCCTGCCTCCTACCCCTCCCCCTTCTGTGTCTATGGGTCTGCGGCTCGGGTCCCCAGGGAAGTGGGGTCACACGGCCATTTTGTCCCTGGTGTAATGTCCTCGAATGTCATCATGTTACAGCGGGTGTCAGTTTCCGTCCTTTTTACGGCTGCTGCTCCCCATCCCGCGGACGTCTGGTCTGCCCACCACCTCGTGCGTGGCTGTGCCCAGCCCTGGGCTGCTGAGTCGCTGGAGGACCAGAGGCCTGGGAGTGGGGTCTCTGCAAGTGCTGGGGCCTCACCCACCAGCGGAGGCACGTGGTAGCGCTAACCTCGGGGGCTGTCCCCGCCCGCCCCGCGGCGCACCGCCCCCTCCTGCAAGCAGCACACGAGGTGCCGATCACATTTTTCTTTGCTGATGACCATGCTAATGGGTGTAAAGAGATCGAAGAAACTTTTTTAACCCAAAGGTATTTGCCAGGTGGTCAAAATAAGAGAGCCCTGTGCCCCCTCAGCAGCCATGCCCCAGCCTATGGCTGGAAGACGGTAAAGCCCATTTTAAGAGACCAGGAGAGTTTGGCTGTGAGGTTCTTCCAAATCCTGGACTCACCAGGGGACTGGCTGAGTGTTACCGGGGAAGGAGGAAGGAGTGAGGGGCGCCCCAGGATGGGGGGAGCCGGCTGGGAGCCACACGGTAGGTTAGCTGAGCACGCCCCCCGGGGAAGCTGGGGCCAGCGAGGTCAGGGCGCACTCGGTCCCAGACGGCTCCTTCCCGCACCCAGCGGGTCACCACTTCCAGGGGAAGGGACCCTGTGTCCGCTGCCAGGCTGGCGCGGGTGCCACCCCCCTTCTCCGAGACCTGAAACCGGAGTGTGGCTGGAGATGCGGCTGGGAAGGAAGGCTCTCCCACAGAGACGAGCCACGGGGAAAAGGCAAGGTTCTTCCCCAAATATTTTATTTAAATATTAAATTAAAAAAACATACATCCGCTGATCATTTGGCATACATTTCTCATGGTAACATAAGGAATAAAATAATTAATTCCGTTACGGTAAAAAAAAAAAAAAAAAGAAACCCAAACTCTGTACACCTTAATCAGGTTGCGTGGCGCCTTGGCCCGGGCTGCGGCATCCGCCCGCGCCGACGCCGTGGGGAAAGCACGGGATGCACGTCGCACACACCTAAACACAAGACGCAGAGACACGACTCACAGCGAGAAAGAAAACCTCCGTGAAAGTAAAGTGCTTGTCACGGCTCCGAGGCCTTTGATCTGTGGGGTCACGGTGGCAAGGAGTTTGAGGGGACGGGTCTCGTGTGTGGGTCCCGCCGCGCCGGGCGCCCCCAGACCCGCGTTCCGAGTCGGCAGGAGGCTTTGGTGGCTTCTCTGTGGCCAGGCACGAGGGCAGTCCCTTCCCCCGATCTCTGGCGACAGCCACGGGGAGGTAGCACGGCGGCCGTGGCAGGGCCAGTGGCTGGTAGCAGCAAGCCTGGCAGACGCAGACACAGACGCGGGCGCGGACCAGTGCCCCGCGGCCTCCCGTGCGCGCGGCCGGCCCCCTGCCTCTGGGAGCCCGGGCAGTCTTTGGCTTCTACAAACGCCCACCTCTCCCCTGTTAATACTGTAGGTCGTAAGAGCCAAAGTGAGCTGAAGGCACCTGGGTCGGGAAAGGGACGGGTCCTGACTGGCGCAGAGGGGGTGAGGCAGCTGCGGGCCGCTCTCCCGCTCGGGCGGCCTCAGACCCGAGCTCACCTGCCGGGTGTGGACGCCCCTGTCTCCCTCCTCCGCACCGACCTGGTGCTGCCGCTTGGTAACGTTACCAGAGAGCAAAAGTCACAACAGGGACACAGACGTGTAGTAAAAAATATAAAAAATAAGTAGCGTCTATTTGTCTATTTATATACATGGACGGTATTTGCTTTAAAAAAGGAACGAAGCTTGAACACTGATCTGACCTCTCATTTCAATTTTCTCGAATGAAAGCCGGACGCCTGAGGCCTGGATGAGGCAGGGTTGCCGCAGGCCACAGCCTGGCCACGGGCAGGCAGGGCCTCGCACCCGAGACCCCGCTTTCCACCCCCACCCGCCCGCAGGCCACGCCTGGCCGTATTGCACGCCCCCCGCCCTGGTCAGTTGTTCGTCTTGGACCCTGATAATGAAATGCATAAAAACTTAAATTAGCAGCGGAAATAAGGTGGGCAGCAGGAAGAAACCTCTCCGGGGCCCACCCTCCAAGCCACGCAGGGGATCGAGGTCACGCAGCCCGGGCCGGAGCCCCGACCTCAGTCACCCACCCCTTCTAGTTTCTTCCTGGGGCTCCTCTGAAGGATCCTGGAAACCAACTCGAGCAGTTGATAAAAGTTCACATCTAAAATAAGAAAACACCGTCCTTGGGGCTCTGATTTCAGGGCAGAGAATTCCAGGAATTTGCAGACTGTTTTCTCCTGGGCTGGGCCAACAGAGCTTTTTTTAAAAAACTGATACGTGAAATAGAAAGTTCACAGTCCTCACTTTGAAGCGTAAATGTTTCGGGGAATGGAGAATTGTTAACTAAAATGAATGAAAAAAGGCTACTAAACACACATACACACACACGCGGATGGACCCGCGGCCCACGCCACGGTTTCTTCCGAGGCAAGCCCCGCGTGGCCCCCGTGGCCCCTCCCGCCGCCCCCACCGCAGTGGCGCTGGCCAGTCCAGCCAAGCCCGTCACCTCGCACCCGCCGCCCTCCTGCCCTTCCCGTCCACCCACCCTGACACGCCCTTCAGTTATTATTTTTCTTCAGGAAGTTTCCAGGCCCTACTCAGAGTTCCATTTGCTCAGTGCAAGGGAAAAAGTAAAAACCGAGAACAAAGTAAAAAGCCAAAACACCAAACGTATTGCTTGTTTCGCTTCTAGAAACGTATTGGCTTCGAGTCCGGAAACGTCTTCACATACTCTGAAATTATTGCTTCGAAGCGCCGGCCGGCCCGGGCGCGGGCGGGGCCCTCACTGCACCAGCACGAACGTGCCCCGCTGGCCCGAGGTCAGGTCCTCCATCTCGCAGTCCGCCTGCGGCAGCCCCGCGGCCACGAAGCTCGCGGGCAGCGAGGCGGCGGGCAGAGGGGCGGCGGCGCCGATGTGCAGGTGGGCGTCCAGCAGCTGGGCGGCCGCCGCCACCGGGGAGCCCCCGGCCTGCAGGAAGTGGGGTGGCAGCAGCGGGCCGGGCGCCAGCCCCAGCTCCTTCTGGAGTCCCGACACGAGGAGGGCGCCGTCGCAGGGGGCGAGGACCAGCGGGGGCGCCTGCTGGCAGCCGGCCGGGTGGTGCTGCAGCTGGAGCAACCTGGGGGGGGAGGGGCGGGTCACCCGGCAAGCCCGAGGCCCGTGTCCACGCCACCCCGCGCGCCCGCAGCCGGGGCCGTTCTCCACGCGCAAGGCTGTGCGTGACTAATCCCCTGAGCAATTCCTGACATTTCCATTCTCCGTCTTGCAGCAGCCCAGGGATGCCAACCGGACGTGACACTCGCTCCCTGCCCCCTCACGGGCGGGCTTCAGAGTGAGCAACCCTGACTCCCGCCCCCACCTACCGGGACCAGGCCCCACCGGCAGCTCCCCCGCCCCGGGGCCCGCAGGTGCGCGCGTCTGATCACACGCGGGGAGACGGGCGGGAGCCCACGAGGCAAGGGTACTCAAGGAAGCCCGCCAGCCGTCCCGAGTCCTGCCCGGGGGCGGTGGCGGGCGCCGGGGGCGTACCTCTGCTGGTGCAGCACCTCCTCCAGCAGGCTGCGGCCCTCCCGGCTGCCAGCCCCGCTGCCGTGCACGCCCGGGCTCTGCGCCGGCAGGTGGAAGGCGCTCAGGCCGCCCCTCGAGGCTCGGCTGGAGGCGGGCTGGCACACCTGGCGAGCCAGCCCCTTGATCTTGTTCAGGCCCAGGAGCCCTTTGGCCCTCGTGCTCTTCCGCAGCTGCTGCCGGAAGGCTTTCAGCCCTGGCGGGGAGGGGACGGCAACATCAAGCCGGTCAGTGGGTGTCCATCCCGGCTTGCCAGGCTGTGCAGACCCTCAGGCAGGCGAAAGCAGGAAGGGACCCCATGCACACAGGATGGCATGAATGGATGGCTTTCCTGCAGGGGCCAGGGGCACCTCCCGAGGCTAAGTCATCTTTGTCTCAGAATTTGATTTGGGGCAGCAGCTCCAACCCCAAACAGGGATGAGTCTGGGCAGACAGAGGAGGGCGCGAGAGGGGCTGCGGGCTGAGGGGGGAGCCCAGGTAGGGAGCTGCTTCCGTGGAGGACCCCTCCCTGGCCGGCCCCTCCTCCAGATGAGGTGCCGTGGCCTGGCATTTGGTGTCTCCCGGGCTTTCAGGACCGGCCACTAGGAGACCCCGCGCGTCTGTCCCTGAAGACGGGGACGCCTAGAGCTTGGAGCTCTGTCCAGGCCTGGCCAGACTTGGGGCACGCCATGTGCATGGGGACAGAGTGACGCCCTCCCAGGGCCACACACAGCATCTTCTGGGAAAGGCGGAAGGTGAGCAGGAAAGGGAAGTCACCTTGAGTGAGTGAGGTGTCCGATGCCCTCCGGCCTTCCTGGAAGCTGATGGGGAGCAGAGCGGCCCCTCCCGGGGCCCCCCGAGCCTGCAGCACTGGGGTGGCGGACTGGGCGCCCAGGAGCGGTGAGGCCAACCTGAGCGGGGAACAGGCACCCACCAGCCCCTGGGCGGCCAGGCGCCCACTGAGCCCCGCTGGGCCGTCGCAGGCCGAGAAGGTCAAACAGCTGTCGGAACTGGTGCCTTCCGTGGGGCTCGCGGCAGAGGAGGAGATGACGATGCCTGCAGGAGAAGACACACACTCCTGAGGGGCCCCTGGCGCTCCCCAAGACCAGAAGCAACCCGCCAGCACCCAAGTTTTCACTGGAAGTCACAAGTGCCAACGGCCCCAGAAGAGGAGCAGACAGGGACACTTTGTGCCTGGCACCCAGCTCCGGGGCCCTGGGACAGCCCGTGCGGCCTGCTGACAGGCGCAGACGGCGGTACTGGCCTCCTCGTCCGCCCCTCAACGTGGGGCAGGAGTCTACGACGGCCCGAGGCTGTCGAGGTTTGGGAGCCGCGATGGTGGCCGGCCACCTCGACGGCGCGGCTGTCGCTGCAGCCGTCCAGAAGGGTTCAGACTAGGACACTGGTGGGCTGAGGACCGGCCCTCCCAGCCCCTGGGGGCAGCCAGACCCCATGCCGTCCTGCCCCTGAAGGACCATGTGCAGTCATGAAGTAGAGTGAGTGCAGTCAGATGGTGCCCAGCCGATAAGGGACGCTCGCCATCGGCCGGTGGGAGCCCCCGCCGTGTGGCCGCCCACCGGGCCCGCCTTCCTGACCCACGGGGACACTTACATGGAGGGGCGCTCGGGGAGAAGCATGTGGAGACCTCGGCCAGAGTGTGCCTCCGGCCTGTGCCGCCAGACAGGGGCTTCTGTGCCTCCCGCTCCTCCTCCAGGCTGTGGGCCGGCCTGACCTCCTCGCTGATGGTCACGTCCAGCAGGCCACTTGGGGAGATGGAGCGATTCCGGAACACTCCGTTGCAGTTGGCGTCCAGGGGGAAGAGCAGGGGCTGGGAGGGACGGACACAAACCAGTAACTCCTGGGGCTCCATGGCAGCTGGGTGGGGGCCGTCACCACAGCAGGGAGAGCCCCCCCAGCCCCCACGCGACGGCTGCCCAGTGGAGGTCACACACCCGGAGTGAGCTGAGGGGGTCACAGTCCGTGTCCACCTGCAGGACAGACTGCCCGAAGGCCTGGGGCTGCGGGCACAGCAGGGATGACCGGAAAGAGTCAGCAGACAGGCCTTCCTGAGGCACCTGCGGGCCGGCAGAGCACAGGCGTCAGCAGGGAGGCGGTTCTGGGGACGACCGCAAACAGCGGCGCTAGAAGGACCCCGCCGGCTTTGCTACAGGCTGGGAGGTCAGTCCCGAGCTGCTGGGCCCAGGAGAGGGGTGACCAGGGCGAGGTGTCGAGAGGCCAGATCGGGGACGGTTAAGAACCAAGTGGCTGCAGGGTCACCCCCTCTTCTCACACGGGAACCCCCAACCCCCGTGCCGCACAGGCAGGAGACGGGACCTGGGGGCCAGCGGGCCCGTCTGGGCAAGGGCCTGGGACAGGCGGGGGAGGGGCGCGCGGTCCAGGCGGGGCTCGGAAGGGGCTGCCCCCACCTCACAGCCGCTGAGGTCCGAGCTCCGCGGCCGCTGCTGCCGGGCCGGGCCAGGCCGCGCCGACGGCTGAGTGAGCCGATGCTCCTTCAGCCGCTCGAGGAGGAGGTAATAGATGGCAGCAAAGTGGTTGTAGCTGCTGTTCTGCAGCGACTGGAGGAGGCGGAGAGAAGCGGGGTCAGAGTGGGGCCGGCAGGGGGAAGAGCGGGGTGGCAGGGCTCCCGCAGGGGGGGCGGGGGAGGCTCCCCGACAAGACTGTTCCCAGGGTTATTCTTGGGTGGCCGAGAATATCCTTTAGAGGAGTGGACAGCTGGCCCTTAAATTAGCCCGTGTTCCCGTTTTAACCCGACTGGCGAGCGCCTGCTGTCCCTCGGGGCGGCGCCTCTCCCGGCAGAGCCCGCGCGGCCGGGCGGTGGTGGTCCTCACCTCCACGGTCCTCTGCCGGTCGATGCCCAGGGTGTCCATGATGCCCAGCGCCCGCTCGTCATACTGGCCCAGGTTGGAGGTGCAGCCGAGCGCGGGGCAGGCCGTGCAGGGCGGCCGCGGCACGGCGGGCTCTGCCTGCATCCACCGGTGCTGCCGGATCTGGGCGATGGTGATGCGCTTGGCGGGGTCCACCACCAGCATGCGCCGGATCAGCGTCTCACAGTCTGGGGGGAGGGAGGCCCGCTGAGCCCAGGCAGCCGCCTGCGTGCCCGCTCCCGCCACCGCCCAGCTGGGTCCCGCCTCGGCAACACGCGAGTTCCTGACGGCAACACGCGAGTGACTGTCCTAAAGGCCGCAGAGCCGGGGGCGTGGCCCTGAAGAGCCACCACCCGAGGGCTCGGTCCCCTGAGGGGATGTGGTCCTGCTGACCCGCCCCACACAGAGGACCCCAGTGACCAGGCCAGCCGGCCAGCATCCCAGACACCAGGCCCCCTCGGGGGGACGGCAGAGCTGAGTCCCCCGCCGGCCGCACAGGTGGGGCAGCGAGGAAGCGCCGTGGGTTGGGTGCCCGCTGCAGGCGGCCGGAAAACAGCCCTCGGTAGCGTGGGGCTGATCACGGCCCTGACGGCACGCCCAGCAGCCCGTCCCCGGTTACCCGACAGCCCCACGCGGCCGGCCCACCCACCTTGAGACATGAAGAAGGGGATGCGGAAGCGGCCCTCCAGCACCCGCTGCCGCAGCGCCGGCAGGCTGGGCCCGTCGAAGGGCAGCGACCCGCACACCAGGACGTACAGCACGACGCCGAGGCTCTGCAAAGGGCCACACGGCCTCGCATCAGCGCCCGCTCGCCCGCGCCAGCACCCGGGCGCCCGGCCGACGCGCGCCACCCACGCGGGACCTACCCAGATGTCCAGCTGGGGGCCTTCGTACTCCTTCCCCTCGAAGACCTCGGGGGCCGCGTACGGGGGGCTCCCACACCACGTGGACAGGGGCTCTCCTGACTTGTAGAAATTCCCAAATCCGAAATCTGAGTGACAGGAACACAGACGGTGAGGTCACGGCAGAAACGGCAGGGCCACGGACACAAAGGTGTGCACTTCACCAGCGGGGGGCCTCGTGAGACAGCACTTCTGGGGCTTGGGGACACCCCCCGCCCCCCAGAGGGTCCCTTGCCTGCCAGCTTGATGTCCATGCTGCCGTCCAGAAGTAGGTTTTCGGTCTTCAGGTCCCGGTGGACGATGTGGTGGCTGTGGCAGTACTCCACGGCGGACAGAATCTGCCAGAACTTCTTCCGTGCCTCGTTCTCGCTGAGGTGCCCGTTGGAGGTCAAATAATCTGAGGGGGGTGACAAGACGGAGCTACAGGCCTGACGTCCAGGAGTCTGGCCGTCACCTGGAGCATGAGCGCGGGAGGCGGGACAGACCCACGCGCTGGAGGGCAATTCCCGGCCAGTTACACCGACCGACCGCTTTCAATGGGTGTCAGACACAGGCGGGGCTTACCAAACATTTCTCCGTTTTTTGCAAATTCGGTGACAATGTAAAGCATGTCCTTTGTTTCCATAACCTAAAAACACAAAGGCCTAACGTTTAACCACACGGAAAGAGAACATACCAACGGCATAAATAATCTACTCGAACCCCAGTCAATTGTTAACTTCCCCAAAGATGAGTGGCTCCGTTATCTTTCAAAAGGAAAGAAAATAAGCACTTCTGCGTTAAAGAAAACAGACACGGGAGGTTCCTATTCAGAAAAAGAATTTAAGAGCTCGGAGGTGAATTCCTCACTAGCCTGCCTATCCAAATGCACTAGAACCTTCCTGCACTGGTGCGTTAACCTGACTGCCTCACCAGCTCTCCCGCGGGGAGGCCTCAGAGGTCGGACTCCCGCGGGGTGCACTGCTGGGGCTTTCTTCCAGAAGCCCAGCAGGCAACAGATGATGCAGGCCGGCACAAGCAGAATGATGGAGAAAAACACCCCTTCCCGCTCTGCGTTACTGACGCGTAAAGCAGGCGCTGAGCAGCGGGCCCCGCGGGGGAAGCTCCAGCAGACTGCTCTCTGCGCGGCAAAGCCCTCAGCGTGTGCCAGCAGCAACGGCCAATGTCAAACACACCCGAAAGGCTCACCTCCGGGTCGAGAATTTGACTTTACTTTGAAGACCAGTTTAAAAAGGGTTTGAAAAACAGCTAGTTAAGAAAGAAGATAACATTGACATCTTTGGAGCTAAAAGAAGCAAATCCGACGCCTGCCCGTGTGTTTTAAAAGATTTCAAAGGGAGAGACGCAAGGACAACACATTTCTTACAGAAACAGATTTCTTTAGGGTTCGAAATCCAGTTTTTCCTTAAAAAAGACACTTTAAAAGGCAACTGCTTTCAGCCATAAATCTAACAAGAAAGCACACATGGTGTGGTTTAGCAAGGATCTCAACCCTCCTGGCTCCCAAGCGTGCGGCAGAGGCCCGAGCGGGAAGCCGCGGTGTATCCCTCCCCTCGGTGCGTGAGAGAGGTGGAGAAAGAATTAAGGGTAAACGTGTTTGGAGTTTCAGGGAACCTCTAGGCAAGAGTGAGGTGTCTCAGCAAGGCTCTGGGGCTGGGCCGGCCGGATGGGATGAGACACCAGCGTCACAGCCCAAAACGACAGGCACTGCGGTCCCGCTGAAGCCTGCCACGTCCGAGCAGTTAAAGTGACCCAGAGAGCGACGGGAGATCGCACCCCCCGCAGGACCTCTGACTGATGACGTGGGCGATGTGCCGTCTAACCGGGCTGCCCCACACAATGGGCCGGCCGAGGGACAGGAAGGCCAGGAAGGTGCACTCTGGCCCATCCCTCCAGCAAAGTCGAAAACAGGGCTCGGCCCACTCCTGCGGAAACGGGCCATGCACATTTCTCAGGCACTGACATCAGCGGCCTTGGAGGAAACGTCTTATCAAAGCAGCACAACTAAAAATGACACAGAAACAAAACACCAGCCCGAGCATACGGTGTAGGGTTAACGACTGCACTTAATGACTCTTAGTGAACTGTCATTCGGGGGAACACAAGCCCGGTGACGCTACTTCCGTGGGACAGTTTTCGATTCTAACGCCTTCTCTGGCCACACTGCGCGCTGAGCCCTGTCATGGGCACAAGCGCACACGCGCTGTCCCATGTTCATCCCAGATTCACTGGGCTTCACAAGAATCCCCAAAAGGAACTTACACCATCCAGACAGCTGGACGGACTACCGAGCATTTGCAAAAAAAAGCACTCTTTTGCGAGCAGACTGGGTCTCATCTGCGGAAGTGATCGGGTGAGTAAGAGGCTGCTTTACTGTGCTCATTAAATCAGAGCTTATTCCAAAGACATGATTTATCAGTCATAACACGGTAACAACAAAGCCACAAAACAAACCGACAGACGGACGGGGCGAGGCAAGTTCTCAACACGGATTAAACGACAAGGTCTCTGTTCTCAGCACGGCAAAAGTATTTTCATCTCTCCATTTTTGACGGAAGACAAATGCTTTTACTACTGCCTTTGCAAAGAGAAGTTCACGGAAACGGGTAAACGCAGCCGGTTTTAAAGTTTAATAATTATCTGCAAAGAGGGAAGTGTCTCCTTCCACTAAAATCTGTCCTTTCACGTTAAATGCCTGACGTGCGCCAGTACATAGGTCTGGTTGTTTTCTTAGGAAAGTAACTCTAACAACCGACCTCTACGCATTTAAAACTGGAGTGAATGACAATACTAAATAAAATTTTAATGAGGCAAATCTCAATTATGATCCCAAAGCAAGAAAATAATAGAAAATGCATATGAAGAGCTTACAGAAATCAATCTATTTACCTTACACAGCCAACTCCCTGCCTCCCACACACGCGCAAAGAGAGGGGCAAAATTCAGAAACTGCAGACTTATTGTTGAAAATAAAGTTACACACTTGCCAGAAGAAACAGCAAAAGACGAACTTGAGTCCTTACCTGATAAAGCTTTATGATGTGAGGATGATTCAGAAGCTTCATGATCTGAACCTCACGATATATTTTCTCCAAGTTACTGGAGTCTAATCGAGTTTTATCGATTATTTTTATTGCAACCTACAGTTTAAAAGAAAGGATATTTTTGTCCCCAAAAAACAAAACAAAAAACCTTTCATTTACACATTTTTGTTTTTTGCATCTTAATTTCTATAACACTTTATGTCCCCAAAAAGTCGCAAAAAGTTGGGGGGGGGGCACACTAACCATTAATGGTACTTAAAGTTAAGGAATTATCTTAAATATCTGCTAGCTCCCTTTATAAGGTCTTCGGGTGGATCCCAGAGCCCCACACTCCTGGGCCATCTGGTCATTACCCTCTCTGCTGTCCCCTAATACTTGTACAAATTATACAAATTATTCAGAATCAAAACATACAGCATATTCAGTCTTCACGGAACTGAGAACTGTCAGGGCTGAGACACTGCAGGATGAACACTAAGGACACGGAAGCCACCCAGCAGCCCCCGGGAAGGGTCCTCACCGGCCGGGTCTGGTACGCACCTGGGTTTTGGTGACTCGATGCCGGGCCAGCTTCACCACGGCGAAATTGCCCTTGCCCAGGGTCCTCTCCACGTCGTAAAAGCCCACCCGGAGGGGCTTCTGCTGGCCCTGGCCGGAGCCCGTGGGGGCCGCACTCAACTCCGACATGATCACCATGGCTCCTGGCCGCACCTGCAGGCCACCGGGCAGCGCACTCAACACCAACCGCTGACCGAGCCCCGGCCGGACCCCGCTCCCCCGCTGACCCAGCCCCGGCCGGACCCCGCTCCCCGCCAACCGCTGGCTCTGCTCCTTCCTAAACACCTCACCCCGCCAGGCGCTTGCCCGCTCGCACGCCTGCCCCCGACCCTCCCAGTCCTGGACCGCCTGCCCCGCGGGGTGTGTGGACCCCCTCCACGCTGCCACCGGCGGTGGACCCCATCCCGACCCCCGATCCTCCAGCCCCGCTCCCACCCTCACCGCCCCCTGCTGGTGCTCTGCTCCATCTCGACCCCCGACCCCCCAGCCCCTCGAGGAGCCTGGACCCGGTCCCAGCCCACCGCCCGTGGTCGGCTCCATCCAGACCCCCGACCCCCTAGCCCCGCAGGGCGCCTGGACTCCCTCCACCCCACCGCCCTTTCCGTCCAGACACCCGATCTTTCAGCCCCGCGGGGCGCTGGACGCTCCCGCCTGCCGCCCGCCGCCTGCTCCATGCAGACCCCTCCACACCCCGGACCCGCAGGGCGTCTGGACCCGCTCGCACCCGCCGCCCTGGGTCCGCTCATCCCGACCCGCAGATCCCTCCAGCCCCGCGGGGCGTATAACCCGCTCCCACGCCGCCCCCTGCCCCGCCGCCCGCGGTCGGCTTCATCCCGACCCCCGACCCCTTCAGCCCCGCGGGGCGTATAACCCGCTCCCACGCCGCCCCCTGCCCCGCCGCCCGCGGTCGGCTTCATCCCGACCCCCGACCCCTTCAGCCCCGCGGGGCGTATAACCCGCTCCCACGCCGCCCCCCTCCCCGCCGCCCGCTCCGTCCCGAGTCCCGACGTCCAGCCCCGCGGGGTGCACGGACCGGCTCCCACGCCGCCGGCGGACGGCTGCATTCCGACCCCTGACCCTCCAGCCCCACGGGGCGCGGGGACCGGCTCTACACCGCTCTACACCGACCCTCGGGCCCCCAGCCCCGCCGGGTGTGTGACCGGCTCCCACGCCGCCCGCGGCCGGCGGCATCCCGATCCCCGGACCCCCAGCCCCGCCGGGCGTCGGGACCCGCTCCCACGCCGCCGCCCGCGGTCCGCTCCATCCGAACCCCCGGAGCCCCAGTTCCGTGGGGCCGGGGGACCCGCTCCCACGCCGCCCGCCCCACAACAAAGGGGAGCACGGCGGCGGCTGGGCGAGCGGCGTCCCGGTCCGAGACCCCCGCACGCGCGCCTTCGGGCCCCGGAGCCCGGAGCGGCGGGCGGCAGCCAGAGCCCGGGAGCCCCGCGGCCCCGGCCGGGCCGCCCAGACCCCGGCGGCCGCCACCCCGGCCTCGCCGCCGCCTCACCTCCGCCGCCGTCCGAGTGCCGAGGCCGGGCCGCCGCTCTCCCCGCGGCCCCCGCCGCCCGCTCGGCCGCTCGCGCTGCTCGGGCGCCTGCTGCTCGGGCGCCTGCTGCTCGGGCCGCCGCCGCCGCCGCCGCCGCCGCCGCCGCCGCCGCCGCCCGGGCCGCGCCGCATGTCAGCTCTGAGGCCGCGCGGCGCGCTCGGGCCGCACGCGCCGCCCGCCGCGGGCCCCGCCCCGGCCCCGCCCCCGCCCCGCCCCCGCCCCTGCGCGCGGGCCCCGCCCCGCCCCGCCGGCCCCGCCCCCGCCGCCGCCGCCGCCGGATTGATACATCCCCATTGACGTCGCTTTGACGCCAGAGCGACGCGCGGCCGAGCGCCAGGCAAAGGGAGAGCGGGAGATCGGGCGGTTGCCAAGAGACTGGCGGCTCTGACGCGCGCGCTGATGGGGCCGTCGCCCGGGCGACCGCGGGGCGGTGACGTCAGGGGCGCCGGCCGCCCGAGGCCCGCCGAGGCCCGCCGTTCCGCCCGCGCTCGCGTTCCCGCCGGCGCGCGCCCCCTACCGGGCGCCGCGGGCGCTGCAGGCGGCTTGGCCTCCAGTCCTGGGGTGCAGCTCTCCGCCTGCTAGCGCGCGCGCAGCCGCCCTCGCGCGGCGCCCCCACTTCTCTCCCTCTTCGCAAAGGCTTGGTCTAGGGCAGTTCCCACCCCCCCGGAAGTGCAGCACAGCGGTTGCTGAATCCTCTTCGGATCCCTAGTCCGGGGGTCCCCTTATCGGAGTACAGGGCCCCAATTTTCATCGAAAGTGCTCGGACTTGGCATCTCTGTTAGGAGAAGGAGCAGGTGGGGCCCAGGAAAGCTCGCAGACTCGCAGAGTGGGGCCACACGGGGTGCCGGGTGACAGCCCGCCAGCTCCCGCCCCCCGAATTGGCCCCCCACAGCCCAGAGAAGCACCACTATCTCCAGGGACCCTCTGGGGCTTGGCAGCTGCAGACATGCGGGACCTGGGGGCAGCCCAGCTCCGGTTACCTTTGTTCTGCACGAATCTATTGTTTAGCGAGTGCCAACCGTAAACACAGGAAGTCTGGGCAGCATCTCCTGGCACGGGCCGCCCGGGCGGGATGGGTCAGGTCCTCCTTCTGGCCTCACCCTCCGCCCCTCAAGGCGCCCGGTGGCGTGGATCAGCCCCGCCTGGCCCTTTCTCCATCCGATCTGCCCTCAAGCGGCTGGTGAAAGACCAGAGGAGGTTGGGGGACCTTTGTAAGGGAGTCCGCGGGCTCTGCGTTGATGAAGGCACCCAGCTGCAAGCAGGGAGGTGAAAAGGCCCGAAGCGGATTCCCTCCCCCCGCCCGCCAGAGGTGTTGGTGGGAATGGGTTCTGCTCACTGAGGTCTTCTAGTTCTTGGGACCAGCTTTGGGAAGCCCAGTTAGCAACGCCTTCGGTGAGGTGGTGATGGCTCTCTGACAAGTGCCGGTGCTCTGCATTCAGATAAGGGGAGGACTCTGGCTCCTGGGGGGGGGGGGGCGGGCAACAACGGGGTCAGTGTCAGGCCAGGACTCCCTCCTTGGTGGCAGTAGACACTGTGCAGGTCCCGTGGCCTTGGTTACTTTTCTCTGCTGCCTGTTTCCCCAGAGCTGCAGGGGACAGTCCTGTGCCCTCCCGGACAGGTGCCCGGCAGCCTAGTCCCTGTTAGAGAGGAGGCCGCACGGGATGACAATGGCCGTGGGTGACAATTGCCGTTGGTATTGGCTGCTCACTTCGCGTTCCCTTATGCCTCATCAGAAAATGACACGATCTCTAGGGAAGACGGGAGCTATGGGTGAATGACATTTCTTGAGCACTAGGCATTAGGAAGGCAGTGGTTTGGGATTTAAGTTCTACGTCTAGCCTAGAATCATTTTCCCTTGTGTTCAATGAAAATAGCACTTCCTAGGAGGGGATGGGGAGCAAATCTCAAGTGAGATGGGTGCAGAACTTAAAAGCCTTCTTCCGGAGGCTTCCACGTGTAAACAGTGGCCTGGAGACGTGGCTGGACTGTCTGGGGTACCACGTAGGACTCGGATGTGCTTCTCCTGATGCACGGTCATCAGCCAGACCAAACATTTCCCAATCACCCCTCTCTGGATGGTTGTTTGTGGGTCAGTTTGTTTTGAAAGGCCTTTCGGGGACACCAATAATTCCAGAATTTTCCTTAGTCTTTCAGAAGTGCCCCGATGATCTGTCCCAGCTATACCCGCCGAGAATTTGGAGAAGTATTTTTACTGGCTTCCAGCTGGATCCTCTGCAACTGCTTTTCTTCCCTTCCGGGGCTCCCACGAATCTGGTCCTAGGAGAACAGGACGCACAGACAAGAAACCAGGGACCTGAAGATACTCACCTGCTGCCTCTCATTCTGTGACCCCAGAACTTTCCTCAGGCTCATCCAAAGGGATGCCTAGCAAACCGGGGCTCCTCCACCCCCTCCCATCCCAGCTTTTGCCAAGTCTTTCAAAAGGTCATAGGTGTTTGCAAACACCTGGGTGGCTATTTGGAAACATTTTGTCATCGCTGAATAGAAACTGCAGCCAAAAGAGCCAAGGCTGCCTTCCCAGACAAGGTCCCTGGACCCAGGCACACTTGACCCGTATTCCTGGTCCTTCTTGAGCTTCCCGCCTTCTGAACAGCCCTGTGTGGGCGTGGCCACCAGCACCCACCACCCCTACTACCCAACCCTTGGGCGGAAAGCCTGCTCTGCAGAGAACGGAGGCAGGGCAGAGGAAAAGCCTCCCAGTGGGGTTCCGGCTGGCACCCCGGGAACTTGCTATTGACGGTGTCTGCTTCCAAGTGTCTTTGATTATTGCTTGCATCCTTGGCACATGGAGGCCATAATTCCTTCCAGAATCCTTGACTGCTTTTCAGATTTCTAGTCTTGCATGCTTTGCACGTAATGGGGGGGGGGGGGATACACAGTGTGCGCTCCAAAAGAGGTAAGTAGACAACGGGAGGAATTCCCCACTCGCCATCATGGAAGAAATACTCTCCAAGTCGGCAAAGACTCGTCTGTCTGTTTTGTAGATCTTTGCGGGTTCGGGAGAAGCAATAAGTCAGGTTTCTTTTCCGTTTGGAATTCCTAAGGCCGTCTTCTCACCGCAGTGTTTCTGGAGTTCTCCTACCCGTCAGCAGGAAGTGGGTCTCTGATATTCACACCTTCCTGGCTGGTGTTCTAAACCCGTTCCCTCCAGATTAAAGGTGGTGGTTAGAGTAGTGCCCCTGGGAAGGCGGCTTTCCCCTTGTCACCAATAGGAAGGCGAGGTGATTTTCTTCCTGGACCCTCTCCTCTTCGATACCCAAGGCCCTTCTCTGTCCTCCTGGCTGTCTCGTTTGGTTTTGTGGTTTATTTAAGGTGTCAGCCCAATGATTTCACGTATCAGAAGATAAGATTGGCTGCCAGCAGCACCCTCAGGCCTCAGGGGCCACCCTGGTCCCTCGTGCCGTCGGGTACGTTTGCACAGCTTGACACAGACGCACAGATAAACAAATACCTGGGCACTGCATCAGGGAATCCCTGCCCCCGGCCTTGGGCTCGCTCGGCAGGTGGGAAGAAAGCACTCACCCTCCGCGGACTATTCGGCTCCAGCGGTGTCACCTCCTACAGCACCGCGCCTCTGGGTCCGTGACTGCCCCGGGGTGGCCGTCCACACGCCGGGAGAGGAGGAATCCTGGGTCCTGGGCACGCTGGGACCGGGTATGTGTCCCAGGAGGGCCCGGAGAGGCAGCCATGGGACAGGCAGGGCAGAATTCTAACATACTGGGCGCGCGCGCGCGCGCACACACACACACACACACACACACACACACACACACACACACTGGCAAAAACTTCCTATTAACAGACCAGCTGGTTCTTGAATCCAACATTCTAGGGCTCTGGTTCCCATTTCCATCTCCCACCAGCAAGGACTCACTGAGGCGGCTAAGGGCGCTGCCTGCTAGAAGGCAAGGCTGTGGTTGATGCCACACCTGAGGGCCCAGCAGGCCATCGGATGGCTGTCGGTCCCCCTAATGGGTTTTCTGTAGGCAGCTGTCTCAAGGAGGCTGGGGGTGGGAGGGGACTGGGCCAGGGAGCAGCAAGGACCTGGAACGTACCTATCGTGGGCTCATTTAAGAAAAGCAACATCCAGCAGCCTGGCGGGGGGCGGTCACATGTCCCGGTCGCATTCCCAGAATAAACCAGCTGCCTCAGGTGGAAGGTTCCTGCATCTGTAAACGCCTGCTTCCCACCGTGTTACTAGTTTCCCAGCAAGCCAGGACCAGGAGCCGCAGCGCGGCCACGTACCCTCATTCCGGGCTCTCTGCCGGGGCTGCACAGAGCTCCCTGACCCCTTCTGGGAGATGTGGGGCTTCTGAGGAGTGATTCTGATCTGTCTCCAGGGTACCCCTGGCATCAAGTACGCTATACTGTCTTCTTGATGGCTATTCACTCATTCAGAAACCATGTGAGTTTCTACTCTGTCAGAACTGTGCAGGGGTGTGCCCGGGCGCCATGGACGGTGACAGACGCGCTGGCAGGGACCGAGTGGGCGGGTGGAGGGCAGGTCTGAGAGGGAGGGGAGGTGGCCTGGCATGCTGTGCCTGGGGGTCACCCATCAGGCGTCCACCCGGAGTCACGGAGCGTCCGCGGTGGGCCGCACAGTTTGGGAAAGTGAGCAGAACAGGCCGGGAACAGACAAGGCGCCTTCTCTCCAGGGCAGGCACCTAGTTTAGGAGACAGATGACAGGAGAAGGTGATAAGGGATGGACATCACACGGGGCCTCCTTCCATCTTCCCGAGGGAAGGCAGAGGGTGGGGGCGCAGGGCGGGGGGCAGGCGGAGGCGGCTGAGGGGAAGCGGGGAGGGGGCTCTAAGGCTGGAGAGCCAAATAGGGTGGAAAGGCCCAGCGTTGCCAAATGTCCATTTGCAAACTGTTGCACGGGTGGCCTCGTGATTTTCCCTGGAGGTGCTTGGGTGAGGACCGGTGTGGCACAAGTTGGGATCTGGGCGCGGCCAAGGTTGGGGCGTTGCCAGGCGAGGGTTACAG